GCCAGCATGGCTGGCTGGGGAATTCTGGGAGTCGAAGTCCACTCATCTTAAAGTGGCCAAGGTTGAGAAACACTGCCCTAGAAGAATGCTCTCATGCTGTCTTTTCTCTTGAGAAAAGAGGCACAGCCTGAAGAGACAATTCTCCGTGAAAAAAAATTAAAGCCGTTGCTTCTGACATGGGAAAGGTACCTGCATGCAGCAGGAACGGAAATTACGTTAGACAGTACATAACTCCACTCTACTTGGCTCATTCCACTGAACTTGGTGCAATTTTTTTTTTCAGGAAGATGAAGAAAAATCCTTCTGCAGAAGGAATCTAGATAGAAGAGACTTCATTCAAAAAGTCACTTGTGTCTTACTCTTTTGTCTCTGCTGCCTAAAACTGCCAATCCCAAGCAGCTTTCAGATTCTGCCACTTTGCTTTGCTACAGCTGTAGGACAGGCGCACGAATCCTTACAACACACATACATAGGCACCCATTGTACTATCCATTTTCTAGGTAAACAACATTATGCAAAGCACAAAGAAATCGAAGTCATTTGATAAGATACATAGAGAGATGTAGATGGGCCCATAGACACTAACCTCTGTGGCCCTGCCGATGGCTTTGGTCCAATGTTTTTACATAACACACTTTAGTAATACAGAGAAGGTACAAAGTAGATTACCAGCTTCAGCTGTACCTGTGCCACATGCAATATTCCTTACTAGTAGTAAGGACAGTTCTGGAGAATTGGCACAAGTTGGCCAGTACAACCCAAGGGGAACCAAAGCTGAGTTTTACTCCATGTGTGCTCAGACACTATTTTGGGCAAGCTGGGATCTCTAATCAAGACACAGTCCTGTAAGCCACTGTAGTATTGCCTACCTCCCCCCAACTCAGAAGTACGTGTACTATACTGATACACACTCAGGATGCCTTACAACAGCTCCATAAAGTAGATCATTATGAACACTCCTCATACTCCTGCAGACAAAGGCAAAGACTGAGGAAGTCACAGCTGGATGGAGTTGATGAAATCTCCAAAAAGAGAGAGGCAAGAAGTTGAAAGAACAAAAACCACCACGGGCATACCCGTGCATGCATTTATGTACAATCTTTCTGCAAATAAAGAGGGTGGAGGGACAACACGAGAGAGAGGATCAGCTGGCCTACAGGTTCCTGGAGAACAGATGCTGGAAATGAGAAGGGAAGCAGTTCCTTCTGCAAAGTTTGTCCTCTTTCCCTTCCATCAGTCAGCCCAGCAGTTCAGCCTAGAGCAGATTCTGGAAGCTGAAGCGGGTGCTTGGCCCTCTCTCTTTCCAGACCTATCAGGCGTCTCCTTGCGTCACAAGCATCCAGCTGGGGGAACGGGCGATATGAGAAGGACAGTCAGCTGCCCAGGCTGAATTGGGAAAAAGGGAGGAGGGGCAGGGGCACTGCCACATTTCAGGCTTCTGCTGGAGCCACCAGGGTCATCCAGCGCGTACAGCAGACAGGCATCGGATCCTTCCCCTCTCCTGGGTCACCCTCTGTTTCCAGGTAGGCTCCAAGGCAGTGGCTGTTCTGAGCCCAGCTGGTAAGCCAGCCCAGCTGCTCTTTTTCCATATTCTTTTTCGCGGGGGGCGGGTGGGTTCCAAGTCTCTTGAGCTGTTGGCACTGGACGCAGACCAAGGAACAGAAGTCTTTCTGTGAAAGAGAGATTGGTTGGGAGGGACTAGAAAGAGAAGAGGGGAGAAAGGTAAATGTCAAAGCTTAGACATAGTGGCTGAAACTCCAGGCTGTTTTCTGGGTAGAGAGAGAGTGTGTATACACACACATATGTACAACAGACACAAAAGTCATCTCTCCAAAAACAAAGAAAAATATCACTGAGAGTAGTGATGGTGAGAGTTTGGCTAGTCCACTGGTGGGCAGATGTGAGGAATGCAGTGTAATGACAGACTCCTCAGGGGTTCATTTCTGGTCAATCACCAAAGACTTAGAAATGGCCAGGCTGCTTACAAAGTATCCTGGATTAGGCAGATCTTGGCCTGATCCAACCTTATCCCTTGTGAAGCCAAAGTATCACTTAGCACTTCTCGGTATCGGTTGACGCAGAGCCCCGTGCCTCAACCGTAGGGCGATCTTGAGTGTGTGCTGCCTTTAAAAGTTAAGCATGTGAACCTGACCAAGGGAATTCTAGCAAAAGTTACAACCTGCATAAAACTGGTTAGCTCACCCTAATCTAACTTAATTTGGGAAGTTAGAATTTGTTATGTAAAAGAAAATATGAAGACCAGAAAGAGATAGCCAACAGTGAAGAATTTATCAAGATACTTACCTACAATGCTTTCCTAGAAAGCAGCTGGTACATGTATTTATAAGATTCTTACAGACTGCTTGATGTTTCTGGAGCACGCGCAGAATAAATGCGAGGATCCATTTTAATACCGCCCTCCCCCAAGATATGCTTGTAATATATATCCTGAATTAATTCAGTGCAGGAAGAATCTTCATTGAAAATTACGGAGTATAATCTACCACAGTAGAGCGTTTGTGTAATATTTTATATATATAATTTGTACTAAACACCCACACAAATATATACTGTATATGAATATCTGCAATGATCTGTACAGTAGTTAATCTGTATTAATTGTCTGCTACTGGTAGGGATCATGCAACTAGAATAATTTTATTGGAAGAGCTGGATGCAAATTAAAAACATAATCCTATACCCATTTTCTCCAAAATAAGTCTCATGGAATTCTAGGGGGTCTTCCTCTCAGCTAGATAGCCATAGGATAATTACCTAAATAGGTTGCATAGAGGGCCCCCGGATTTAATGAGACTTAATCAAAATTTGTTTTTTAAAAAATAATTAGGCTGGAGTTCTAGACATACCTTATTTTGTTAAACAAAGTTAGCTCTCCTTTTCAAAACATGTCATTTTGCTAGCTAAGAAAGAACTGAGAAAGGTGGAGGACCGAACCTTGTAACAGCTTCCCAATTAGGTGCCCTTTGGGTGGGTTGGGAGTGCCCCTCCTTGAATACAACAGGAGACCACAGGAGCTGCAGTCTGGGGGGCACCACCTTGGAGAAGAGTTCTTTTCCCAGGCCAGTACACCTTCATATCTGGCCTACCTATTTGGTGAAGAGTTGATTACTTGATGCACCAATTAGCCCGTGCTGAAATTCATAGTTTAAAACTAAAGTCAGGATTTGCACAATGCACTAGATTAAAATAATGCTAGATTATGGTAGTCTTGTGTGAAATCACTCCAATGAGGTTATTTTATGGTTCAGCATATTGTGCCAACCCAGGTTAATTCAGTAACTCATATTTCAGTCTTGTATTTATGAGAACACAGCCTACCTTCCCCCAACGTTTTGTTTGCTGGAACACAATTTGTGTAAGTATGTTAGTTGGGCATGAACTTACATTAAGCACATTTTTTTAACCAGGAATTGCTGAGGCTGAATTCACACATTGTACTCATCTATGCTTGAATGATGGTTTATTGAAAAAGCTACAAGGGCTGGTTTCACCCTAACTCTAAGCCAAAATCAAATGCACTATGCCTAAGCTTAGCACAGTGCCAGTATTGAGGGGAAAAAGTGGGGACATTCAATCTGCTTGTTTAGGCTGGATATACAGACATTCACCCCAAAGCCTTCTCACAGTTACTGCCAAACTGCATTTTTAAAAATAGGATACAGTGGTAAGAAATATCAATCATGCCAAAGTCATAGTTGTAGTACAGTATTAGATTTAATTTTTGTCCTGGTCCTGCAAGCATGCTGGAGTCTAATCTGCAATAGACTCTCAAGAGCCAATTAAGGCATTTAGCAGCGCCCCCCCCCCCAGTCCCTTTGCAGAGTTCTCCATCTGTCATATCCCAAAGCCCACAAATAATAATAGAATAAAATCAGATAGAAGCAAAACGCTTACTTTTTCCTACGAAAGGCATTTATGCATATACAAGCTCTCTATTTATATTTACAGTATTCTGAAGACTTAAATGTTTCAGAGGTTTGTTCTGTGTTCCCCTAGTCTACTACTAAGATATGCTGATGGTACACATCCTACAGTTACAGAATATATACATTTATCTGGAAATAAATCTTACAGAGAGGTTTACCTCTGAGCAGACATTTTTGACTGCATGACATTTGGGTTCACACAAAACAAACCATCATTTAGAAACCATCATAGATAAGCCCGCCTCAACCCAACCACAAGAGTTTTCACTTGACATGCTTATCATCAACTATCATTTAACTAAGTTATACAATTTCCTGTATTTGCATAGTACTGAATTATTCATGTTTGGTAGGTTCACCAACCCTAACTAACCAACATTAAAACTAACCAAGTTGAGCATGGAGTATGAAGGCAGCCATTCTGGTCCATTACCTTACACCATGTTTCTTTTGGCACTGTGCAAATGGAACCATTTAGGTTTGTTAACTATGGATTATGGTTCTGTACATTACAGTATATTTTTCAAGACATGCTATATAGTAGCTCCTTCCATCTCTACCTAAAAGTAAATTCTGTTGCATACACTCAGGGAAAAATGTAATGCCAGAGTGTCCCACAGCATCCATATTTATGTAGAGATTGTATTTACCCCATAGACTTATCCAGAGTTAACTAAACCATGGTTTACTCAATTAAGTCAATGTTCTGTGTTTCTACAACACCCTGATTATGAACTTAACTACATCAGTGTTCCTCAACCTTGGGACCTTTAAGATGGCTTCTGGGACTTCAGCTACCAGAATTCCCCAGCCAGCCAGCCAGCCCATGGCTGGCTGGGAAATTCTGGGAATTGAAGTACACACTTCTTAAAAGTCCCAAGGTTGAGGAACACTGAACTACATGGACTACATTTATACAATACTTAGTCCAAAATCTGACTGGACTGTTTGTGGTTCACTCTGTAAACTCAGAAAGAGAAGAAAGAACAGCTATTAAACTAAATAAAGCTACCAAAAATTATAAAAATAAGTTTCACAAAACCAACCACTAACTCATTTTAAAAAAAGGCAGCTTTATCCAAAAAAAAAAAAAAAAGAGCATTTTGGGCAGGAGGCAGACCAGAGCAGTCTTCCTTGTGGAAAAGAGAAAAATCCAACAGGAAGGCTCAGATCCTCACAAACCACCCTTCAGATGATGGGTGAGACACAAAGCAGATCTTACCAAACTCACACAGGAACCAGCAGCCCTTCACCTATCCCAAACTTCACCTGAGCATCTTGGCCCAGAGTGCAGGCTAAATACTAGTGCAGTCACATGGTCTGAACAAATTGCTTCCTGCCAGGTGTAGCTTTCCAACAATCTTCAAGGGCAGCCCCACAGAAATTGTATTGCAGTAGCCCAATCTGGGTTTCACCAAAGCAGCGTGACTTGCCTTTGGCAAGTAAAACCCACAACTGGCACCTTCAACATACCTGGTCCAGGAGCAAACACACTCCTGGCCACAGGTGCAATCTGTCCTTCCAGCAGCAAGGGGAAGTCCCATTCTGCATATCTGGTGCCTGGGAGGGAGGGTCACCCCATTGTGAGAAACATTAACACCTGTTGCCTGCACCTCACCTTTCTGTTAAAGCCATAGCTACAGAGGCAAGTAGCAAACATTCCAGCACCCAGCCTGGAAAGGCATTGATGATTTAGTTCTTGTCCTTTTATCCACCCCATCCTATTCTAAGAATGATTGATTGCTTAACCTTCCAGAAACTTGATCTTTATGTCCAGCTCGGAGGGAGGAATATGAGGCACAACTACCTTGGCTATTTCTGGCCTGCCACAAACAGGTCTGTCACCCAGTAGCTTAGCAGTCTCACTCCATTGCCCGGAAGGGGAGGAGGACAGAAACAGCTGAGGAACAGCTGGGGTCTCCATCAGGCAAATGTTCCTCTGTGGAGGGCAGGATTCTCTACATGCTTAATTTGGAGACTGAATGCAGCCTGTCCAAGTCTAAGTCCAGACATGGCAGATTGAGATAGACCCAGCCGGTCTGCATCAGTAGTTGCAAACCACGCCAGATGATAAGCTAGCATATTATATCACATTCCCAGGATTTTGTGAACATCAGATTCATTGATTTGTAGTTCAGTTAACCATGGTAAGGGAACTGTGCAAACATTGCCTGTTATCAGTAGAAGAATCCATTTGAAAATAACCCTGGAAATAGACACAGTTGCTTTAATGAGACAGATGCTGCATTCATGCTCCTGTGTGTTATGAAGCACCTCTTCTGAACTGAACCCAAAGCAAGCAAAAATGAATTAGTTGGCAGAGCTTCATTAGGGCCAGGTACAAATATCATGGTACATTGTGATAATTCTTTCCAAGATTCAACAGTTTTGTATAGATCAGCCTTTCCCGCTTTGGTGCCCTCCAGATGTTTGGTACTTCCAACCTCAGAATTCCCAGGTTTGAACAGGATGGCTGGGAATTCTGGGTGCTGTTGTCAATGGAGCAATTTACCACATGCTTTTAGCAGCTGTGTTGATGTCTCTAGTGGCTTCCAATTAGTTGCCAAGTTATTGTCAAGGTGCTGATTGTGAAATTAATTCATAAGATCCTGAGCAGCTTATGACCAGACTCTCTCTAAGGAATCTCTTGTTTCTATAAAGGTCCACCGAGCTTTATGCTCTGATGATATCCTGTAAACTGCTTTGATTGTTTTTTAATGAAAATGTGCAAAAATATTGTCATTAATAAATCACTCTTGCAGGGCACAGGTTGGAGAAGGCTGGCATAGGCTGGGTAGGATGTGTCTTCCTTGACCAAGCAGCTTCTTCATATAATCTTACAGGCCACCCTTCGCCCCAATGGCCCCCAAGAAGAAGAGCTCCAAAAAGAACAAGCTGGTGAAGAGAGACACTCCTATTAATGTCACCCTAGCAGAAGATCCTTCTCTTGACATTGACCACCATCATCAACTGGACAGTTTGTTTGAAAATGGCTCAGATGGTTTCCTCTGCACTGCCACGGAAGTCACAAATCCAAACCATGGAACCAACATGCTGATGGAGATGAGTTCTATGCAGCAAGAGCATTGTCTTTGCGATCTCACAATTGCTACCAAAACCAAATCGTTCAGAGTTCATAAACTGGTTATGTCCTCCTGTAGTGAATATTTCAAAAACCAGCTGAAAAAGAACCCCAACCTTCAGCAAGTGGACCTCAATGACATTTCTTCCTTGGGCTTGGCCACTGTCATCTCATATGCATACTCTGGAACGTTGAGTCTTTCCCTGTACACCATTGGCAGTACCATTTCCACCGCCAGCCACCTGCAGATGTCTGCACTGCTCAGTATGTGCTCAGATTTCCTCATCCGGGAGATGAATGTGGAAAACTGGATGTATATTGCCAATATGGCAGACACATACAATCTCAGTCAGGCTAAAGAGGCTGCCAGGAAATTTATCCGGGAACATTTCCTAGAGTTCTCTGATACTGAGCAGTTTTTGAAACTTACCTTTGAACATTTGAATGAATTGCTGATGGATGACAGTCTGGAGTTCCCTAGCGAAGTGGTGGTCTTCCAGATTGCCATGAAATGGCTTGAATTTGATGCCAAGAGAATCAACTATGCAGCAGACCTCCTGAACAATGTGCGGTTTGGCACCATCCCGGCTCATGACTTGATCAATTATGTCCAATCTGTTCCATGTATGATGCAGAACCCAGAATGTCACAAACTTCTGGTAGATGCTATGAATTACCACTTGCTTCCTTATCAGCAAAATGAACTTCAGTCCAGAAGAACCAAAATTCGAGGGAGCCAGAAAGTGCTGCTTATGGTTGGGGGGCGGCCGTGTTCTGCAGAGAAAGCCCTCAGCAAAGACGTGAGCTACAGAGATCAAGAAGGGAACTGGAATAAGCTGACAGAGATGCCCACCAAATGTTTCAACCAATGTGTTGCCGTCATGGACAGCTTCCTCTATGTGGCAGGAGGTGAAGATCAAAATGATGCCCGGAACCAGGCAAAACACGCAATTAGCAATTTATGCAGGTAATAAAAATACAAAAACAATATCTTTAAGAACAGTGAAGAGGTTTAATATGGAAAGCTGACTTAATGCTGAGCCAGACCATTGTCCCATCTTATGCCACTCTGTCTACTTTGTCAGGAAAAGTCTCTTCCAAATATCGAAGCGAGAGCCTTTCTCAGATCTGCTGCTGTGAGTTGGGAGAGTAGACATTCTGATGCTTCCTTTCAAGACCTTCTGCATGAAATTCATGTACTCTTTTAATAAGTTATAGTCTTCCAAACAGTATTCTTCAAACAGTTGAAACAACCTTGTATTTAATCAGAATATTGATGCTACTAGTCCAACCCTGGGCACCCCAGATGTTTTGTACCAGAATTCCTATCCATTCAGTGTCCGCACTGGGAATTGGAGGGTTTTCAGTCCAATATTTCAGGACTGGAGAATGCTAGCTAGTCTATCAGTATCCAGTAAGCTAGTTAAAGAGGCAGTTGGGCCTTCAAAGTGAGTTAAGACAGAAACCAGTATGTAGAGCTGCAGCTGCTTTCCAGCAACCAATAAGCCACAGCTGGTGGAAGTCAAGGACTTAGAAGACTCAGCTGGGCAGATCAAAGCATTTTGTTCTAGAAAAACCTTCTCCTACCTGGGGTGCACCAGCTATATAAACATGTTTCTCTTGAGTTGAGATCAACTCCTGGTTATTATATGGACACTGGATCCATACAGTTTTCTTAGTACAGCTATGGGAATGGTTTGCTTTTCCTTTCTTCCAGAGTTGTTTTTCAACTTCTATGTCTAGCTTATAGCTTGGGGATTAGCCTGGCAGTCTCACAACCAAATGCTATCCAGGTCTAATATTGGTTAGGTTTGGGAGGATCAGCCAAGGACAGCTAGGGACTGATACCTGCTGGTGCCCCTCCAGAGGTACTGGAGTAGAATTGGTCATACAGGGTGGAAGGTCACCCAACAGATTAGGAGGACATCTTTACAATATGTATTTGTTATAAACATGTGTATGCAGCCTCATTCAATTGAGTCTTATCCAGTTTTTGTTTCCACATATGTTCTTGCACATGCAAGGGAGACATACCCACAGACAAGGTTCACATATCACCACTAGTCATGGTTTGGAACATGTATTATATGTCTGTTGAATAAGCTACATTTGAGTAGATTCAATTTGTAAGCCATGTTTTACAGACCACTCTAGTTGGGTTCATACATACTCATGAACAACCAAACAAACCACATTATGATTTACCATATTATATTTAATGGACCAGGCCAATGAATGTTTCCGATGTAAAGTCAGATCGTTGTTTAATCATGGTTTGTTACAGAAAATAGTGGCTGGGTTCATCCAATACACTAAACCAGCAGCATCTGGTAGGGGCAGGCGGGGCAAAAGAAACACAAGATGGTGACTGTGGCCATATGATTGCAGCTCCAGGGAGCATTTTTGATCACACAGCCATCCTCTTGCATTTTTTGACCAGTCCCCCTCACCATCACCACTACATTAAGCAAAATCCAAAAAGACCAAATTATGGTTTAAACAATATTTGAATATACCCATTTGAGTAGACTTCAGTCTAATTTTTTAAAAAACTGAGAGTTTTAAAGATAATTAAGGAAGTCTTCCAAAGCAGCAACTCCTCTTTTGATGCATTGATTAAAACCAGATTTTTTTCCCTAGATCTCTTCCAGGTGTGTGGACTTCAAATCCCAGAATTCCACAGCTAGCATTGATGAGAATTCTGAGAGTCAAAGTCCACACACCTGGAAGTTGCCAAGGCTGGGAACCACTGTCTTGATACTACAAGGATGCCTTGTTTCCTGGGTTCCTAAGACCCACATTGGGTGGAATTCATCTTTTGTGTCCAGGGATGTCTGGGGAGGGGGTCAAAAAAATCAAAATGGCGCCTTCAACCATGCAATTGAAGCTCAGCCCCTTTTCACATGCATTGCAACACATGTCAAAAGGGGCTGGCTTTGATTGCAGAGTTATGCAATCTTGACTTTTTTGACCCTCTCTCCCTACATCCTTCCCAAATCAGTGCTCTCCTCCTATGCTGCTGGGGTCCCATGCCACGTTTCATTCCTAGAATCCCAAAATGATACCACCAAATCCTCAAGCACAACCCTTCTCTCTCTCCACAGGTATGATCCACGATTTGGCACTTGGCTGCACTTGGCTAGTATGGCCCACAAAAGGACTCACTTCAGCCTCAGTGCCTTCAATGGGCACCTCTATGCCATCGGAGGCCGCAACGCAAAAGGCACCTTGGTCTCTATTGAATGCTACGTCCCTTCGGCCAACAGCTGGCAAGCCAAAGCCAACATGGAGCTGCCACGCTGCTGCCACGCCAGCGTGGTCACCGACGGGAAGATCCTGGTGACTGGGGGCTATGTGAACAACGCCTACTCCCGGACCGTCTGCAGCTATGACCCTGCCCTGGATTCTTGGCGGGACTGTACCTGGCTGAGCAGCCCTCGAGGTTGGCACTGTGCTGCCACGTTGGCTGACCGGGCCTATGTCCTGGGGGGCAGCCAGCTGGGCCCCCGCGGGGAGAGGGTTGACGTCATTCCAGTGGAGTGCTATAACCCCTCCACCAACCAGTGGAGTTTCATGGCCTCCTTGACCACTGGCCTGAGCATGGCAGGGGTGGCCACTCACAATGGGCAGATCCTCCTCATTGGAGGGTGGAATGAAAGCGGGAAGAAATACCAGAAGGTGATTCATGCCTTCAACCCTGATCTGAATGAATGGACCGAGGAAGGGGAGCTTTTGGAAGGTACCGTGGGGGTGTCCTGCTGTACCATTGCTCTTCCTCACTCGAACACCCGGGGCTCTAGAGCTAGTTCGGTGGCCTCGGCATCCGTTAGCATGTAAAAGGAGCTGGCTGAGATGGCAAAATGGGTCCTGGTGGCTTGCTGAATCAGGAGCTTCACAGGAAAGGTGAAAGATCCATTGAGTTTGCTGAAGAGAGGTGTCACTGCACAAGCTGCTGTGGGTTATGGGTTCATGTCCCAGTAATAACACATTTCTGATTTACCTGTGGACCTTTTCACAACTCCTTTGGGGAACTGAAAACTGAAACATGTCCAGACGTGACTCATCCGATGTGAATGTACTTCACTTCTGCAAGCAACATCCCTGTCTCATAAGAGCTTAATCTGAAATCTTCTCCCCTCCTCCCCAAGATTGCCTCTACTTTTAAAGGTTCGGGTAGCCTTTGGGGCCTCTTTTCAATGAATTTTGTGGCTGGCCTCTTGGATACCTCAGCCCTTAATTAAAGGCAAGCTACACTGTGTTTCTTTTGAAGTCCTCTAGCCCATTTTTAAAGAATGATCAGCTCATCTGGGCAATGCTGCTATTCTGTGAAAAATTTACCAGCTTGCCCCTTCGTGCATGTTCACACAACTTACTTAGCCGCTCTGAACAGTTAACAAGAATTCACGCCATCATTTGCTTCCCTGGGCCACTGACGTGTTTTTAGCTAAACCTTTTATCCAAACTCAGAGCTGCTATCATTCTGTAGCAGGAACCAGAATTTCAGACCTAAGATGAGTCGTATCTTTATTCACCCAATGTCCTTAAACGGACCAAGCCATGACCTTGCAAATACTAAGAATGGTGAGGGTTACAGTAGCCTGGTTAACTTCCTGTGGTTTAGCTCATTTGGCTATTTTATGGTTCAATGCCTCTGTCATGTTAACTAGAAATGGCTGCTATTCTGGGTAAGGTGTCGAGTAAACCACAAACCGCAGTAGAGGCAAAGAGAAGAGAGATGTCATTAACCAAGCAGAGAAGTTTGATGTCACGTGAATACTTCCAACCTCCAGTCCTACTTCTGTACGTGACTAAATTAGGGAGGGAGAATCCATTACTTCTACTTGTTGCTGAACTACAGATCCCAGCAGCCCCAGCCACATGGCCACTGAGACAGGCTGAGCTGTATTTTAACAATATTTGGAGGGCCACAGGATTCCCACACCTGGACTAGGAGACACAGTGCTTCAAATACAATCCCGTTTCTACGCTGAACTGTAAAGGACTATGAAGAATTGTTCATTTACACAATCTTAGCAGCCATCTGGGACCCCCAGTTTAGCTGACATTTAAGACCAGGGTTTCTCAACCTGATCAACTTTAAGATGTGTGGACTTCAACTCCCAGTGCTGGCTGGGGAATTCTGGGAGTTGAAGTCCACTCATCTTAAAGTTGATCAGGTTGAGAAACATTGTTTTAAACCAAGCAGAGCTCTTTGTTCACCCCGATTCCCTCTAAAGGTACTGGGGAAACAATTTGGTTCCAGTTAGCATACATATGGGCCAGCGTGGTTGGGACTGATGGGAGGGCTGCATGCTGTCAGGTTGCATGGGTCCTAAATCATAGGTAGTTCAAACAAATGGCTTAGTAGGATAGGTGAACTCATAAGGCTGAGAGCTTGAAAGTTGCTTCCAGTCCTTAATTTGGGGTGGGGTGGGGAACGGTGGCTTGAGTTACACATCACTTTGATTTTACTGAATAATCCCTAATAGGCTGGATTCACACTGCACTATGGAAGCTAGAGGTTGGTTTATACATGTATCATCTCTCAGTGAGACTTCTGTAACCAACATTATTTGCCATCCTGCATGGGGGCAGTTGTGGTGACATCAGTGCAAGAATTTACAAAAAGCAAAAGGTAAAAATTAAGGAATAAGACCAAGAAGGGGAAAACAAAAGAACAGAGATGTGTCATATGCAATTAGTAGAACAGGAAAGTCAAGCATTTATTGTGTGTTTAATCAAGTCTGCTGAGATTCAGATACTACAACCTGGTTCATACCTGCTAAGCCATAACACAATCTGGCTTTAGTCTTCCATGTTGCAAGCCAAGATAGATTTAGATTGCTTAAAATGTATTGCGTACAACAGGCCAACATACTTCTTCCATTCATACCAAGCAAATTTTAACAATTGTGTTCATGCAGCATGGATATCCAAGGTTAACCATGGCTTAGTCAATTGACCTGATTTTCTGGTTTGGCTCAACACATCAAATGATTAACAAAAACTAGATACAGTGAGGTGTCTAATTTGTGGTTCTGTGCTGTATGAGCTCACAACGTGCCCCATTTCTGAGAAGAGCATTGTTTCTTATCAGAAGCCCCATCCTCAGCCGTTCAGGAAATGCACGAAAAAAGCATGTTGTTGGTTATTTGAGAGCCTCCTTTATTTAAAGACATCTGCACTCACGCTGGTCAGTTGAAACAAATGCATTCCACATTTCCTGTTAGCTCATTTAGGCCTTTCATCGCCAAAATAAAACAATGACCTTTTGCTGCACAACCTGAGTTTCTCAAAACCTAGCCCACAACAGAGAATCACCCATTTTCAAGAAAGGGATGTTGCTGGAGGACAAATCAGGAGGGAAGTCAGGAACCAGTAATTGCAGGCTAGGTGCAGCAAATGCCCCCAGCGCGCATAGGGTGTTTATACGATTTGGACACAGGGGGATAACACACATGTACAGCTGAGGAAGACATTTGTTAAGCTTAAGACTGGTCTTGAGAGGTTGTTGTCAGAGAAGGCACAAGCTTTTCCTCTGAGTTAATAGACGTGCCTAAGCATGTCTTAATAGACAGATGAGGCTCCGAAATACCAACCCAAGTGATTCACTTACATAGCGCAGTCTATCATCTCCAAGCAAGGCTCAAACTCTTATGCTCTGCCAGTCTGTGAATGTACCTCTCTTGAAAGTATTCTGGGAGCAGCTGCAAGAAGGGGAACTTATTGGAGCAATAGTACAGGGAAACAGCCTCCATACAGGGAGGAAGAGGAGCAGGAAGCTCTGGGAAGACAAACCACTCCAAAAACTAATCAAAATAACCTGAAATTATGCAGCTAAAATTACTAACATTACAAAACTCTGGCTGTTTTGATGGGTTTTAAAGAGTGGAAATGAGTTTGGTTTGCTCCTCTACGTTTGGAAGAAACCCAAAAGATCACATTGTTAAGGATTGGCCATTCTGCCACCAAATTTTCAGCAGCACTATTTTGGAATACTAGCAGGTTGCATGCAGCCATGAATTGTCCATTCTTAGTCTAGGGGATTTGGCTCCCTGGCCTAGTCATTGAACACTGGATCTTTTCCAAGTTACTGTACAAAAGGTGAAAAGGAGGACCCATTATAGCCTCTTGCATACTTAGTAATGTTGCTGTCAATTGACAAAACTGACTGGGTCACACCAGTGGCTTACAGATGCCAACAAATTGCCAAATCCAGGTGAATGAAAATCGACCTCTTCAGAAATACAACAAACCCACATGCTCCCACCCAATGCAGCATTTCTGCCCCATAATAGTTCATACTAAACTTCGGGCTTCTTCCCAAAGAGTGAAACCTAATGCCGAAATATGGAGAGAGAGGACAGATTACACAACAGCAAATTAAATAATGTAAAATTTTATTCACACTTATTTCATAGTGGAAACTATTTATTTGCCTGGAAGGATGATGCCATCATACTGCAAACAGAAGAAAGAAACCGGATCAGGGATAAGTAAGGCAAGCTCTGCTTTAAACACATAACTTCCATCAGATCCTTTTTCTTTTAACAGATCTGTAGCTACGTCCGAACACGCAGCAGGACAGTTCAAGACCCACACCTTCTTAGTCATCCCACCCCCCTCTCCCCCCAACCTTCACATACGTGTGAATGCAGGCACAGTTCTCCTTGCTAGGTCTCAGACTGTAAGAACAGCTGCACTTGCATTTAAGCAAACGCAGGTCCAGGTCTCCTTTGGTCCTCTGGCTGAATGTGTGGAAGTCCCCAAGAGCAAAAAACTGGGCTGTATTTCTAGGCCCAATGGTGAGCCCTCCCAAGCCTCCCACTGAACATACATCTTGTGCAACAGAGCAGGAAGATAAATGATCTCACAAAACCAACCCAGAGAAGGTAGAAGCTTGGACTATATTTTTACTGACTCACACTTTACTCTTGACTGTGGCCTAAAAGGATGAATAACAAATTTCGGACTGTCCTGAAAGGCTCTATTTACTCACCCCATGCAACCAAGAGCCTATTTAAAATTTTGCTTATGCAATTAGGTTGCTGAAAAAGTGGGTCCGATGGATGAGGTGCATTAAAGAGCGGTGTTCTCACACGGAAGCACATTCCAAATACTATTTTCCTGGTATCCCATATGACTTACCCCATATAATAACATATGTTACATTATTTAAATAGATCTCTCTTAGTTAAGGATTGGTAGATGCTAACAATTCAAGGTAGCATCTAAAACTATCCCAATCCCATAAAACCACTAAAAGAGAAATGTATTGGTGTTGTACTAAAATTAAAAAAAAACAGGTAGTCCTCAATTTACAATGGCAATTGGGGCTGGAATTTCCGTTGCTAAGCGATGCAGTCGTAAAGTGCGACTGCATTGCTTAGCGACAGTAATCCCTGCAGTTCTGGTTGCTGTTAACCAAATCCCATGGTTGTTAGGCAAGACAACTTCCTGCCAGCTTTCCACAACCAAAGTCAGTTGGGAAGCCAGCAGGAAGTTATAAGTCCCAGGCCCGCAGGCAGGCAAGTGGCTGCTGTGGGTGAGGGAGGGTGTGAGGGGTGTGTGTGAGAGGCATGGTGTGGGTTGTGGAGGATGCATGAGAGGTGCAGACTGGGGAGGGCATAAGGAGATGTGCAAGAGGTGTGGGTCGGGGGTGTGCAAGAGGTGCAGTGCGGGTTAGGGAAGGTGTGAGGGAGGCGTAGCAAGGTTCAGGGAGGGTTTGCAGGTGGGAGAGACTTATCTCAGCAACTTGTGACCTTCCCTGCCGGCTTCCCCACTGACTTTCTGGGGAAGCTGGCAGAGAAGGTTGCAAATGGTTATTACAGAGTGCTGCAAGTAATCGTAAGTGCGAACTGGTTGCCAAGCACCCAGATCGCAATCACATGGGGCCGTCCCAGCATGTGGAAGTGCTGGGACGGCTGGAACTCCAAGTCAATATGACAGGGGAGGCAATGTATTGAATATGCTAGATTACAGATATGCCTCCCAAACAGCTGGAACTGCAATTCCCAGAATTCTCAGGCAGCATGACTTTCCATCATGGTAGCTGGGGATTCTCTCCATCCCCCCTGGAGGGCACCAGATAGGGAAGAATGGTTTAAGAAATGCCTGCCACCGAGTGAAAAACCAACAGAGAGACCAAGTACTTTTAACAAGCTCATTTGTGGTGGCTAAAAATTGCACCAGGATTTACCTTTTGCTGGAACCAGCGCATGGCTTCCTCTTTGCTGATTCTATGTTTGGCCCCAATACTGCCGGTTCGGCGCTTCTTGTCAGCAATGCTGAACCCTGGCCTGCCCAGAACCTGAAGCACAAGCAGTAACACAAGCATTGTTAATTCCTAAAGGTAAGCTTCAGGAAAGCTTTTCAGATATAAAGTACACCCAGTATTTCAGAGGGAGTAACTGCAATAACAAGCAAATAGCCAAAAGATTAGCCTAACACCAGAAATCTTGGAGACCAGAGGTTAATCAACATGGTGGCATCACAGATTTTCAGAGGCTGAGCTTGTGTGCTACAGCATCTAGAGTGTTCAGCCTGGGATACAGAACAACTACAACTTCAAGGATCTTAACAATGAAAAAGTGAAAGCAGCCACTGCAAGATACAGGCTAGAGACTAATCTACCTAACAGTTATGGCAAAGCTTAAAGCTCCATGGAAGGAAAAAAAAAATATAAGCACCCAAAAGTAAATGAAACGAGCTAGTTCACAAGATATTCCTAGCCAGGAAAAGACATTGATTAATTCTTATCCTGTTTTCTAAAACGTTCTACAGACTTAATCCATTTTCTTTTTAATGTAGTCAAAAAGGAGTCACATGACAAAACCCCCGCTCAACTGTAAAAACAAAAACCTGGAAATTAAACCTATAAATGTCATAGCAAG